CTTTTGCATTATTATTAGATTTTTCAAAACGACGTATTCCTGAATGTATAAAATAAAACTATAGAACAATACTGCTTGATGATACTTTTCAGCAAGATATACAGAGAATAATAGGAGACCTATATGGCCTTATTTCGTCTCTCAACCGTATATTATAAACAATCCACACAAACGATACATAGTCCACAGTTTCATTTCGCTTGAAAGCTTTCATAGTAAACTATTGTGTTGACTACCAGTTCGATTGCGCAGGAAACACCTGCTTATAGGAAATGTACTTGTTATAGGATGCATATGAATTACACGCAATAAACAACTGTTTATGATTATCTATAATTATAAACTAATTATAATAAATTATAACTATATAATTATAGTCTGTCCTAACAGCAAATAGTAATAATGGGTAATCGATTTATTATATTGACGCGTTTATAATCTGCGTTTATAATCTGTATTTTAATAAAAATAAAATATTATATAATTTACAATTAGAAAATTTCAATAAATTGTTTGACAACTGTTTATAATCTATCTTTTTTTACTTTTTAAACAGAGAGGTTTTAAGAATTTTTAAACTATAGGATAAAAAAATGAAAAGTATTTCTCAAAGCATTACCGATAAGAAGTAAAGTTGTCTTTTTATTTAAAATTATTTTAATATAGTTTACATTTTAACAAAAATCTATTTAAAGGACTTAATTAAGAAGATACAAATTGCAGAATATTAGAAAGTGTAATAGACTTTCTTTGATCTTTCCTGAACATTTGTTTAAACTAGTGTTGAAAAATCTATCAGTAAAATTAAAACCAAAATATTTTCAGATATTCTGTCTATATAATTATCAATATTATAAAAAAATCAGAGATTGCGTCTTTTATGTAACTAGAGTCTGCATCTCTCGTATGCTATCAAAAAAATATTTCATGTAGACCATTTGACATTTCCAACTTGATCGTGATTTTTCCATTATATGCGGATTCGTATGGGTGTACACGATGTTTTTTTAAAATATGATACTGGCTTTTCCATAGCGTGAATATTAACTTACCTGGATATCAATACGCCCATCATCCCACTTTGACAGTTGTACGTAACGCAATGGACCTTTCCAAGAAGTCCGATATTTTTCAGTACATACAATACCAGTACTTTGCTGAAACCAGAACATATTGCAATCAGATTAATTTACGCCACAAAATATTATTTCAATTATGACATTTGTATTTTAATTTTTATTATTGTATTACAATATTGGAATTATAATACTATTCTTTTTTCTATCTTATATCTTTATTTAGATTATACCATGAACTGTATGTCATGTGCATGATTGATATAATAAAAAAAATATAGAAGAAAAGAATACAAGAATATAAATTATTGAATAAATTAATATTAACCTGTATTACACCTAAGTTATAATATTAATGAACATCAGAATTTAAAACAATATTAAATAAAAAATAAAAACAATATTAAATAAAAATTTTTTATACATAACATTTTCTTATTTAATTGCGATGTTATACTTAATCATTTTAAAAAAGACACAATATTATTATTAAATATTTAATTTGCATACGGTAATGATTAAATAATTTGATCAAAAGTTAAACTCATAACATTTGCATGCGTATCTGAGTTGGAATATATTAAAGTTTCAGACTTGTACATGCATTCGAAAATATTTTCATGTGAATTCGACGAATGCATTAAATTCACATATGGCACAATAAATGTTTCGTGAGCCTGAAATCATAGAAATATTAGCGTGCTGGTTGGCTCGCGTGCTTTGTTTAAGAGCACTGCAATTATATGCGCATACTATGTGATAGATTATCTCCGAATGTTTTATATCGTTCAAAGATTGATGATTTAATAATTCACCGAATGATACAGACTTGTGATAAAAAAAGGAATGTAAGCGATATAATTTAAACGGAGTCTCGACTTGATTGATCACGATTGAATGTCCTCGAGAATGTCAACCATTCGAAACTTCAAATCATGACTAGTCAATTTACTTGTTCTTCAAGTTTCACTCATCACGCTTTTTCTTTATGTGTCGTTACCTTTAACGTGAATCCTTCCAGTTTCCTTTCACAAAAAACTCATGACAAATATGGATATATCGAATGCTCTTACTCACTTTTATGGCTTGGAGTAAACGGAAAAGACAGCCCGTAATAATTTTCATGGTCCAAGTCGATCTTCAATAAACGATAATGTTTTAGTATCCCCGAGCAGCAGCCCTTATAAGCGCGTGAAATACGATCGCCTTAAAGTTTTCGCAGCGTCGGAGGGTTGACCGCGCGCGCGGAGGGTTCCGTACGTCCGTAGAGTTTTAAAGAGGCGACAGTAAGGAAGTGATAAAAATTATACCGCCGGCATAGTTAACAAGTTTGTATACGCGTAAATTACAAAACGAGCGAATTATGGCGTCTTTTATATAAAATAAATGACCCATTAAAGAAATTCGATAACGCCACGTGGCTTCTTTCATGCTCCCAGTTTTTAAAACATTACCAGCATAATATCTCAAAAAGAACAGTAAGAAAATTATGGCAGGAATCTCTTCAATCTTTTAGCTAAAATATTAAAAAATTTCAGTTATTTAT